CATTGCATGATGTGGGTATTTCCTTTTATTGGTTTTATTTGCTTCTTTTCAGTTTCCCTCAACATCAATTTATTTTCACCCTTTTTGTATTATAAAATGAAAAAGATCCATGGATTTAATTTCTTTAACTGAAATGTATATTGCTAACAATCAACTTCCCATGTTTGAAATTCTCTCTATTCATAATACACCTTAGATATAAATATATTACTTCGTTAATAATACAGTGTTATGGAACAACTACAAACAAATTCACTTCTCCAGAGCAAGTCAATGTTACAGGTCTATGGAAAGAAAGTTAATATAGAATAACTTATCTTTGTAAAACCTAACAAACATGACAAATCTTGAAAGTGTCTTAGTCCAACTAATTTTTTGCAGGTCAATTAAAAAATCAGACATTGTTTTGTGTGCATGGATACTAGAAAGGAAAGACCCACGGCTTACCTGCACAGCCCAGAGGTAGTCCAGACGCAGCTTCAAGTCCACCTGTCTGGAATGCAGTGCCAAAGCACAAGAAAATAGCAAAATGGCTAGTATTGGTTCATAGCCACGCATATAAAAGGAGCCACCCCTTAAAAACAAAAGGAAAGTGAATGGTTTTTTCCAGGTTTTCTAATACCTAACACTTCATATTTCTAGTATGAGATCTTTAGTTCAGAACACGTGGGTACCCCCTAATCACTAGTCTTTTCCAAAGCGGCTCATATAGGCAGGGAGAAAGGTGAGAGTAAATCTGATCACTGCATGAGACCAACGTTCCAATTTCTTGAGGATTTTATAATGCTATACGTTACTGTAATGTGTGCATGCTTTTAATTAGGAAATACAGTACCACTCAAAAGCTTAAATACACTGGAATTGTTGAGGACTGCTGAAACATGGAAGTGAAGTTTTTAACTGTGTTTTTCTATTTCGTATTATAATTAAGACTGCAATATGTTCAGCTGAGGTATGTTAGCATAAAAGTAACAGAATAATGGGAAACAGTTCCCAAACGCTGATCTTCTGTTGATGGGTATTTCTAGATCCTACAATTGCTGGGTGGAGGATGGCTTGACTATTTATGCTCTACGGAGTATATACCCCAAAGCAGCACTGAATGCTAGAGGACAATTCAGAGATGAAATACTCATTGCTTTAACTTTGCAAGTTACCTACCCCACTGCTTTTCTGTAACCACTGAGTTCCAGAATAGCTATGTACAAAATTGTAACAAAAAGCAGGAGAATCATTTTTGGCAAGGAAGATACACGCAGAAATATTGCCAAGGTGAGAGTCCCCACTACGCAGGAAAGGAAAGCATAGTGGGCTGTGTCACACGGAAGTTCGTTCATTGTTTTATTTGTTCCACCAGGAGAAATGATAACTATTGAACTGCTGGAATTGGTATTCCAAACCCAAGGCATACAGCCGACCTAGAAAAGACAGGAGAGACAAGAAGGACAGAAAGTTAAATATGAAATGAAAGAAATGCAGCTGCTACGGAGGCTGACTGTAGCTCTCTCCTAACTGGGAAAATACGGCTGTGAAGTTCCCATCCAGCTCACCACTCCAATAAATATCTCTCCTTTTCTAGTAATGTTTTATTCAGTTTTAGGTTTGAGACATTCTTTATTCATTAAATGCCAGTAAGGCCAACCAATTAAAGCCTGGACTTAGCTGAATATGTTCCCTGTCAGGGCTCAAACCCAAGAGATTCTCAAGCCAACATATTCCTGCAAAATTAAGGAACCTGAGTAAACATTCTATGTGGCCATGTGGATGAGAAAGGTTCTTGCACAGAGCACAGAAAGGAATGTGTTTGCTTTATTGACTATGATAATTGTAACAATTTCAATTAATCAAGTATAAAATAAAACCTATTTTAATCTTTGATTGAAAAGCTAAACATGAATGGTATCTTTTCTCCACCTCAGAACTACTTCCACGATCACATATGATTCTAATACAAGACCTCATCTAGAATTATCCTTGCCATTTCAGTTATCCAAGGAGTTCCATTTCCTCCCTAGACCAGGAAATAAAAAAATGGTTTAGTGCATTTCTTAGGAGCCATTTGAGGAAACATAACTGCTTCTTCCAAAGGCAATGTCATATTCACATCTCAGAGCCCAAGACAGGAATATCTGGCAAACACTGCAAGTCCCTAGAGCTCCAGTTTTCACTGCACTTCAACCTTCACCCCTTGTTTAGGGAGATGAGAAGAGTTAGCATAAATGGGAAGAGTGGGATGATAGTGTGAAATTGATTTTAGAAGGCACTATCACATTAGCCCTGCCTGTACTTAAGCTCCTCTTGAAGTGTGTTATTAGACCTTTTTATTTCATCCTAACCACTGATAATGAAATTTTGTAGCATGCTGTAAAATAACTGACAACCTGAGAGGTAATTAAGCAATATATTTTACAGGGGGTTGTAGTCATTTAAGAAGATGAGACCTAACAGATAAAACGTGAGTTAAACTCATGGTGGCTAACATTATGAAATGAGATGACAGCGAGTAGAGTGAAAGATCTGTTTAATGTGATTTTGTTCCAGATCCTTAAAAATGCTGCTCATACTAAACTCATCCAAAACCACAGGCATGCATGATGGCTTCATAAATGATGTGCGATCCATCCAGGAAAACACCATCTGCTCTACAACTAGGAGTGAAACCTCAACACCTAGCTCCTCTGCTAGCTGAGAATTCTAAAGCCATCACTTTGCAGGGACTTAAAATTCCTACTGATTAACATTCCTCCTAAGCATTTCAATGGTTACAGGCTATTTTTTTCTTCAATAAAGGATAAAGTTGTATATGTTATTTATTAGACCTATTTCAAGTTATAACTGAATGATCACTGTCTTGTTGGAGGCCAGAAATTATAATCTACATTCTTCCACCGATATTCAACGTTGCCTTAGGCCTTATGATACCCATTTCTCGTTTTGCCATCTTTAAATGGCAACAATGGTGCTTGTTTCTTTTGGTCCAAGTGTCACATTTATGGGGGCTGATCCACAAAGGTTTCATCTGCCATAATATTCACCTCAATCCCAAAGTCAGACACACAGAACTTGCTGAGATGCTAGCTAGCCTAGAGGCGCTGCACATCTCTATGCATTTTAGGCTTACATGCACATTAAGAATCACATACTTGCCTGTGTGCTGTTAGGGCTGTGTGTTACTCACACAACTGATGTTCAGGAATTCCCAAAAATGTATGAACATCAGCATTTCTTGGTACCTCTCAGAACACTGGAATTCACAGTCAAGGGATCTGTTGCCCATTCAGTTCATGGGGATCAGCTTGGTAGACGTTTTCAAAGCAGGTCAAGGGATAACTGAATACAAAATTAGGGGCTTGGCATCTCAGTACTGTGAAATGCTCATGAAATCCCTGTCTTCCTATTGGGCAGAACACATTGCCTAAATCCCACAGAGAGGCATGGTTTGAGACATCTGCCTCCTCAGCATTTCCAATTGTGTTTAGTGTGCTATTTTTGTGTGAATCCTTTCCTTTGGGTACCCTAACATGTTTAATTCATCAGCATTAGCAGCCAAAATGCTGAAATTGAGTTCTAGGAGTTTGACAAGGCAACTAAATGCCAAATACTTAGGTGGAAGTTTAAATCCCATTTGACATTCAAGTCTACCATGTAGAACTAGCTGCTAATCCACAGTAAAAGAAGCTCAATTTTCAGAAGTATTGAGCAAGTTCATTTCATACAAGAGAAGCTTCCTAGACGTTAGATACGAATAGATCATATAAGTAGCACAATGTAAGCACCTCTTCTAGTTATGCAATACTGTCCATATTTTAAGATCTTGTTATCTTTTCTGATCTGCTGGACAAAAAATATCCCCTTGTTATCACACGTAAGTATGTTCTATAAGCTGCCACACAGAAATAGGTGATGTTTTTTGACACCATGCCTTGTCTGTCACAAGGTATTAGCCACTGAACTAGTAAGCAAGCTGAACATTTAAAAATAGCTTTCCCTTAAAGTACATGACATCAGCAGACTATGTGATGCTAAGGTTTGATATAAAACTTTCTATAGATGTTGACTTGGTATTATCTGTGTAATTTGCCCATAGCTTTGCCATTCCTAATTCAACAGCCTGACTCAAGGCAGTGAAAGTTCAAATCATAGCAAAGGGCTTTAATTTTGAGGAAACATGCTCTGCAAGAATGAATAAGAGTAAGAATTCACCAGACAAGAATATGGTACGTGTTTAATGGATCTGCACCAGGTTGTTATTTAAACAGAATGCTAAATTAAGCAGGACTTGATTTAAATACTCACCACGCATCCTTGAGCCACAGAGTATATTAAGATCACAATAAAAATACACAAAATGGTACGAATCTGAATTGTCAGGCACCCTGGAAAACACTAAGGAAATAAAAAATAAAAAGATTTATAGATACAGATTTAAAAGTATTTTTTTCAAGTGGGGTTGTTATTTTTCAGTAGTCTATAAAAAGAAGAGAATAAGGGATATGGAAATTTGGCCTGCACTGTAAATTATAAAACAAGCATGTAGTTATTATTGTGAACATGTGCTGTAATGGTAATTGCATTTTGGGGGGTAGTAAATGTGAAATTATTATTACTATACATCATTTCTCACTATAATTAAAACTCTTTGAAAGGTTAGTAGGATGTCTGCTCGTAATGCAAATAATACATTAGGATGGCATTTGATTTTGTTCTCATGAGGAAAATACCCAAAGCATCTTTTGCCAGGCAAATTATCAGCTACAAATAGTGATCCAAGACAACATACTGTGGTAGCATAGAATTTTGGAGTGGTATTTGTGTCTTCTGCTGCAATAGCCATGTTAAATGCCAGGGTAGTTTTAATTATCAGGACTCATTTATAATATTGAATTTGTCAGGGCAGAAAGAGTAGTAGAGACCAAAAATGTCTGGTGGAATGGAATCTTGTGAATCTCCTCCTCATCTTCATTTTTATTGTGATGCCATCACTGTAAAGTGAGATGTTCTTGCTGCTTGTGAGCATATATGGAGCCAGTGGCAGAAGGTGATAGAGGAAGAATAGGTCTGCCAGGCTCTAGTACTTATGCTTGTTCCAGACACTGTGATCTACCCTGGTTTCAGTGAAAGCTGCTTTCCTTCTCTCCTGGTATGAACAATGTTTGAGGCATCTATTATCTTCTGGACCCACAATACGCCTTTCAGACAACAAGACATCTTGCAGTGACTTCAATGGGCAAGAATCAGCAGGCAACAATCAGATTTAAAGTGGGAACAATCCTGTGTCCCTTAAAAGGAGGAGGCTCAGATGTATCAAGGCTGGATTTGACTTAAGATAAAATGAATCCAGCAAACACTAGCTCTGAAGAAAAGCTGTTGATCAAAAGTATAGCTTACAGCAGGCAGCAAAGTACCCATGGAGTACCCTTCCTTTCACAGATGCAGAGACATTTTGTCTGTGTGACCACAAAGAAAATATAGCAGTTCATCAAAAATAAAAAGCACGTGTGATCTGCAAATACATTCTGGCTTCAGTAAGGATTAAGTCCATGTAAATTAAATGTAGGTGGGAAACAATCAATGGAATATTAATAGTAGCTTTATATTACGACCTGAGTTTATTTGCTACACCAGAAACCAGTTTAGCTGTTAGTCAACATCAGTAAAATATATTGGGATACTTGAAGTATATCGCCCTTAATAAAATAGTGAGCATATTGTAGAACAAAAATCCTGACTTGTAAGAACCTCACATTGAAAAGCTGTGTCTCAAGGGAGGGGATACAGCAGTGTCTAAAATTACACTATGAAGAAAAGAGATAGACTGTTTCTGCATTTATTCACCACTATCATATAGTTCAGGTTGGAAGTGAACTCAAGGGACCCAAAAATACTGTTTGCCTTGACCCCCAGCTCTGCTTTACAGAGCTGGTTAGTTTCCAGCCTGTCACTGCAAGGAGGTTCTTCCTTCCCGGTGCCTGGACTTTGCATTTATTCATGCTCTATTTCATAAGATTCCTGTTGGCCCATTCTGCCAACCTGTCTAGGTTCCCCTCAGTGGTCATCCTGCCACTGTGTTGGCTCTTCCCCCAAAATTGGAGTCACTAAAAACTTGACATGAGTATACTCTATGTACTTCTCCAGATCACTGATAAAAATATGTAACAGGACAGGTCCTAGGAAAAAACTCTTATTGTACCCCACTTATTACTGGCTTCCACGTAGAGTATGACCATAAACTGCGATGCTCTGAATGTGATCATCCTGATGTTTTTTTACCTGTCACACTGTCTACCCAACTAGACCAAAATCCTACAACACTTGAGGTGGAATGTGTGTGTTTTTACCTGTATAAATAAAAAACAAAGTAACTTTGTTTGAAGGAAACCTACATATATTCCATTAATTCAGTTTGCAACCAAATAAATTACCTACTGCTTGTTGAAGAGAGAATGCCCACAGGTCTAAGATAATGCTGTATGGTTAATAGCGACAAAGCAAAATGCAGATTCAAAGACAATGTGTTCTGACACATTGCACAGACTTTTTCTGTATGTGTGTACGTGTTCTAAATGTTGACATGTTAGGCTATTGGGTTAAAAGGGAAAATAAATCCTTAAAAGGTAAGATATGAAACATGTCTGAATTAAAACTCTGACTGACACTTAGAAGATTTATTCTTCTGACCTTTGATCATTCTAAGATTGCATCTGCTATTTTCTGATAGCATAGCATTTTGGCCTTCATTTTCTTTGTTTTCTTTGTGGAACTTTTATTAACTAAATAAGTACCGTCAGAGTCACTTGTCCAGTGTAAAATAGCAAGTAAGTGCCAGAAGACTGATTAAAATAGGGGAACGACTGCTTTAAAAATGTCTATTTATTATACATAGTATATTAATTATCTTTATTTACTACATAAACCAATTTTTACCATAAAATTTCAAACTGCTATACTCCAAGTTTTTCTATTTCTTTGTTTTTTCTGATGCTGAATTTTATCTGTAGGTACTGAATCTCTAGAGGAACCTGGAACAAATTAATATTCTGTTGACTGCCAAAACAGCTGGAACAAGCCTTAAGTTGGCAGTAGCCCCAGGGAAATGGCATAAAGAGGAGCTATTTCCTACAGACTTCATCTGTCTTTCTACATCCATAGACAGAACACACAACAAGTACCATGCCTTTATGAAACAAAAGAGATCATCAGAGTTACTCCCAAATAACTGTGTGAGTTTATCAATAAAGATCTGCACTGTACCAGATACTCTGCTAATACACTGTTTCTGTTGCCATGAAAACAATTACTTTCCTCCTGCCAAAAGCTAATTTTTCTTAACTAGAAATTAGTGTGTGCTTATCAGCAAAGCTGATTAATGGTGTGTTTTCTCCTGATATTTGTCTGAAAAGGCTATATTTAGATTAAGCCACTACAGATTTCTTTCATCAGAAAATTAATCCGCAGATGCTATATTCTGATCTGGCAGACCCAGTTCTCTCTTACAACAACCAAATGTCCTCCTGCATCATTACTGTTGTGAAAATGTAATGCAGGAGAATTAATCATTACTAAAGGTTTTGAAAAGGCCAAGGGTTGCGTGTGCAAAACATTGTGCTTTACCATCAAAACAGCTGCTGCTTTGGCAGGACAAGTTTTGAAAACAGAGGGGAATTTAACAGGACTTTACACCCAGATATCAGTTGGAATGGAAGGGAATGCTAGTGTGCTCCCTAGTCAGAAAGAAGAAAAAGTCAGGTTACATAGCAGCTGTTTACCTGAACACTGGGATGATTCAGTGGCTAGAGGTAGGTGTTCAAGGAAGACATAGCAAAAAAGACAAAAACGATAGCATTAATGGCACTGCTGTAATGATTGCTCATGTGAAAAGTCTACTTTCAGATGAACCATTTTTGTTTTGAAGTGTCCAATTCATTACTTAGCAATGAACTTGAAAAGCACATAGATTTCAGACCCTGAATCTGTGAAGCATGTGCTGATGGCTTCATATTCCAAAGGACAAACCAAGCATAGCAACCAAAAGGAAGAATAGTCATAAAATCTGAAATCACTTACTTGTACTCGAGTGACATGTAGGTACATAATACAAGCCACTAGGAAGCATATGCAGAACACCAGGAGAACAAGAACTATGGTACTCCTAGAATCAAAACACAACAGAAGTGAAGCAATGCAATCAGTACACGGTGTGAACAAACAGCACAGTGGTCCTTCTGAAATGGTGTTTTGCATGAATGGTGGAGGACCTCTCCCTCACCCTTCCTGTAATACTGTTGCAGAGGAAATTTGACAGTGAAATGCACTGCTCTCAAGAATAAGAGCTGAGTAAATGCTTTTGTATATGGTGCCCACTCTGACCTCAGCAAGGAGATCAAAGCACCTCAAAGATTCAACTGTATGGTGTGTCAGGAGAGACACTTTCTAATCGCAGGCTAATGCAGAATATTCAGCATGGTAACTCTTAGAGGCAGAGTGCGTAACCCAGTTACTTGGCCTTGGCAGCTGTGTAACAGTTAGCAGATGCTTTTCCCTTCTGATCTTTCCTTCTCAGAGATTCAGAAATCAGTCAACTCAGTCACTTACCAAATCAAAAAATCAGACTACCCCGCGATCCCTTCTTCTAATGAAACAGCGCAACTCCCTCCTTATGAGTCTTCCTCAATAGACAAATCTTATTCTTCACAAAGATGCTCTAATAATTATTTTAATTCTTAATCTTCCCTCTTCTGATCTTTCAAAATAGGCTTGTTCTTCATGAGCAGAGGCGTGAAGACCAAGCACATCCCTCCTCCAGAAAACCTGTGCTATTGGAATAGTACTTTATGGATGTCAGTAAGCTGGCAAAAATTAGTCCACCAGTGCTGGTGCTTTGATTTATGCTCAGGGATAGCCTGGTTCCAAGCCAGCCATGGAACCAGGGCCATGTGAAAGGAGCATAACATGATCTTCACACCTCTTCTGTTCTTGTAAGAACAACCCAGATGGTTCAGAAGATGTGAGCCATGAGTGAAGGCATATGCATGCCTTGACCACCACTGGGGAAAGACTGCTAAACAGGGTTTCTATCAGTAGAAAAATGCAATTCTTCTGCTGTAGAATTTCTCAGCATTTGGCTTTGATTTAAAATTTGTGTAACAATTCCCACCAATACACAAACAGGTAAAATTTTGTGGTGTAGTATGTGTATCCAGAATAGGGAGATGACTCTAGATACTGTCAGTGTGGATTCTGAATACAAGTATTAACGGTCAGCACGCTCTCCTGTGCTTTTAGAAAACTGGCTTGCATTCAGGATGGTAGTATGATAGAAAATAATGCAGGGGACATAACTGAAACAGTGTCTTTTATGGCAGCAACAGCCATGAACTGACACTAGTGCAGAGTGCAATCCTAGCAGAGATTTGGGTTGGCACCAGTAACAAAGGGCCACATTGTTTTTTAAAAATAAACCCAGCATAAGACATCAGGAAAGTTCATAATCAGAGCTTTGAGTGGCTATGCTGCATGTGTGCCTCCGTAATTGGACAGCTTAGGTTGACAGGAACATAGCCTTACTTTCATCAGCGCCATCTGGGGATATAAAATATGTCTTCAGTTGAGAAGCTGTTTTGCTCAGATGATCATAGGAATCGTGAGCATGTTGAGCCCATTGCTTTCTGTGTATTTATGCAGCAACTGGCCTTCTTACAACATTTCATTGTCTCTAGATTTTGAATGTCCTCCTTGAAATATTGTGATATGTGTCAAACACTGTTACTAACACTACTCCCATTATAGTAACACATTAAACTTGCCTTGTCTTCTGCATTCTCTTGTCATACTTATAACTGCTTTGGCAATCTAAAAAGCAATGTAAATCTCCAAGTTCTGTGGAGATGGGAAAATTTCCAATAATTCCAAAGTTTTAGTCTATTTCATGGTTGCATCTGTGTAAGAGCAAGGGATGAGCCCAAGATGACTAGTAATTTGGTAGTATGAAACCACCAAGAATAGACATTGCAAGAGAGAATTTAAGACTATTCACTTACTATTCATCCACTATGGGTGGCTTTTATAATTAACACAGTGATGAACTAGTTCATCTTCATGGCCTTCAGTGGTCATATTCTGCTGCAAGTTATGTGTCTGTCACATCAGAGCTTAAACTCAATCTCTGTTCAGCTGGTTTTTAAGTGACAGTACTTTTTGGAAAGGTTACCAACTACCATACTGTATGATTCTTGTAAATCCATTCTAGTTTCAACTACACTAATACTCTTTGTCTCTCCTTGTTCTAAATTGCCATGTACTGCAGCTGGGCTTTACTTTAGAAGTAGGTGAAGTAGTTCTTAACTCTGCTCCAATTAGTCAGCAAAAGTGGTTAGTCTGGAAATCAGATTATTTTTATAAGCGACTCTGAATTCTTCAGATGAAAGGTATTATATAGCAAATTTAAATAATAATTATTACTATTAAATTAAAAACGGTGTTTCTCAAACTTGCAATTAGAAATAATAGAATATAGGAGCAAGTATTGTTCTGACAGGATCTGTGAGTAGAAAAGACCAGAATTTATAATGGGATTTTCCAAAGCATTATGCTGTGGCCAGTTTTATTCCTAATAAATCCTAATTAGTGAAAGTGAGTGAAGCTGATTTTAAATATTTTGATATTCTCACCTGAAAAAGCTTATTACTGATCGTTTTTATACCTTGGACATAAGTATATCTACTTATTATAACCCCCAGATTTGAAAGTGAAGTCTAATTAATGTTTTAATTTCGTAAGCATTCACATAGAATTGACAAAATCTTAATCACTAAACTGTATCACTCAACAACAGACATCAGACACCCCCCAAATCCATCATGAGTATTTGGTTATACCTGCTTTAGTGCAATCAAGGTCTGACTGCAACTCACACGGGAATGGCCAAGCTGTGTACTAGGCAGTTTGTGTAGTGGTAGCATTGTTATCCAAAACCTCAATGCAGGCTCTAAATTTGGGTTGAAAAGCTGGATGGATATTTCAGTGCTTAGTTCCCATTAAGCTCTGTATAGTTTTATCTATGTGGCTATTAATACCTGACATACTTTGTCCAAAGCCAGCACAACTGTAGTGCAGAAATGCTTTGAATAAGTTTGGCAGATTTCAGTGGGTTTGTTTTCTAAGTGCATCCTTCTTCCCAAAAAGGAAGGGGGAAAATTGTTTTAAATAAGATAACAAAATGTGTCTCCTTTGGACAAATAAAAGAGAGAATGGTTAGACTAAGGGTATACCAACAGGGAATCTCCTGTTTGAGAAGATACCAACCTGGCTGCTAATTCCCATTTCAAAGACATTAATGTTTTGACCTTGACCTGATGCTTGAAGATGTTCCACTTTGAATTATAACGGGAAAAGACAGAAACTTACTGTGGTATTATTAGAAGGTAGACAAGGCCAAATAAGGCAGCTAGAATTAGTGAAAGAACTACAGCACTGGTGAAATACTCATCCTGAAGCTGGTGGTACTGTTAAAGAAAGGAAGAAATGAAGACAGTGAGAATTTTATACATACCCAGCCACCCAGGTTTTCAATTCTCAGTAGGAAAGAACTATAGCCTAAAGTAAAATAAGCCCCTATGCTTGTTACAAACATACAAATAATCATTGCTTAATTCACACACACACACACAAACGAGGTAAGCCTACATGTTTTCCTTGACAGCCTTCTGTTTCAGAAGGCTGCTCCTGTTGGCCTAGCTGTTTAGTTTTCACCCTCAAATCTGGGTTAGGCTCAGACATAAGTTCATCTTTTGGAGCAAAAAAGATTCAGCCATTTTGAACAATGAGGTGGCACTACACTTATTCATCACAAAACCCAGCCAAATTCCTTTGGTGCTGCCCTCAAGGAGTCCTGCCACCTCAAATGCTGACCTGGACTCCACCGGATAATTTTGTTCCTAGCAGCTGATGCAGTGCTGTATTTTAGCTTTAGTCTGAGAACAGCGCTGATAACACACTGATGGTTTAGTTGTTGCTCAGTAATGCTTACCCCAGTCAAGGACTTTTTAGTCTCTCATGCTCTGCCAGGGAGGAGGGGAAGCCGGGAGGAAGCAGAGACAGGGCATCTGACCCAAACTGGCCAAAGGGGCTATTCCATACCACAACACATCATGCCCAGTATAGGAACTGGGGGGAGTTGGCTAAAAGGGACTGATTGCTGTTCGGGTCAGGCTGGGCATCGGTCAGCGAGTGGTGACAATTGTATTGTGCATCACTGCTGTTTGTTGGTTTTTCAATGAGTTTTCACTTTCTCTCTCTCTTGTTATCTATTATTATTATCATTAAAATATTGTACTTTATTTTAGTTACTGAACTGTTCTTATCTAAACTCGTTGATTGTACCTTTTTTTAACAATTCTCCTCCCCATTCGATTGAGGAGAGGAGTGAGCTACCTGGTACTTAAGTTTAAACTCAGCTGGGTTTAAACCACAACAGCTGCTCAGGACAAGACACTAATGGGTGGGTTGGGGGCAGCTGCTAATGAGAGACACAAGCTCAGTTTTGGGTAACCTTGATTCCACTAAGCCACAGTCCTTATGACAGGATACTTTCCAGGGGTGGAAACACAAGTCTGTTCTCAGAAAGATCAAAATTTCAATCTCATTTGCACCAAAAGACTTTCTTATCTTGAAAGAAAACAATTACCAGTAGATAATAAATCACTGTGGAAACTTGAAACCAAGGTTAATTCCCAAGACCTTAAAAAAACGGAGTCCAATCTGGCACACAGCCTTCTGACTTGAAACAGCAGTGGCATGAAGTCTTAGACTAATAAGTGACTTACAGTGGAAAAATAAATGCTACTGCCAAATTAATCCAAAATCCCTTTTGCTTTTTTAAACACATAAACCAAAGGCTTTTATTTTTTCCCAATTAAAACAACTTGGATTTACAAACAAAGCCCATACAAGGTAGGAACAGCTCTACTTTGTTAAGTTATACACATGCTTATATGTCTGGAGTAAGTCCACTGCTTTCAGCAAAGTCACACTGGCATAAGATCACAACCTTGCACAGAGATTAAAGACTGTTTTTCAAATTTTCTAGGATCGATGGGATCAATACTTATCAGGCTACTTATGCAGAAGGAAGCATCCTCCTGTCATTAATGCTTCTCCAGAGCACATGAGTCAGTAGGTAGCCACATGAACAGCATTAAACCGGTGACACAGGTCAGGCAGTTTGGAGAAGCAAAAGGAGGGCCAAAAGACAGGATGTGTAACTTTATGGGGAAGGATCTCAATTAGTTCGCTGATAGTTCTTTTTATCCCCTCTACATGTTTCCATAGAAGGTGGAGATCATGTCTCCCTCTTAACTGAGAGACAGTCCAGAGGATTATTTAAAGATAGTGAGTAGAATTTAAGTATTGCCTAAAGCCAAACAAAAAACCAGTGTTATCTGGCTCCTGGCCAGTGAAATCAGTAAAAAGTTAATTGTAAACACTCTTACTTTATTTTCACGTTCAATTTGCTTGTACTTCAGGGTGAAGAAGTTCAAGTCAGCCATCTCAGACTCAGTTTGCCGGGCCTCTATCAAGCGGCTGATGTATCTGTTCACTCGAGTTCCTGGAGTGTTGTATACAACATTGGTAGAAAAAGAGGAACGATTCCTGAGTTTTTCAGAGGCTGTCCTTAGTGCTCTCCTCTGTAGCACAGATGAAGAAAGAAGCACAGATTTCATTAACATTACAATTTTTCACTGCTGTTCATACTAGCTCAAGCTCACAGCCAGGATGAGGAATTCCTTAAGCAGAGCAACTATCTCCATGCGATTGCCATCTTTTGAAAACAGCTTAGCTGAAATCCTGATCTCACTAAAATCAAGGAGAAAATGCCCACTGCATTCCAGAATTTCAATCCTCATCCACAGAAATTCTGTTCACATACTGCCCTGATACTTCCCTGCCACTGAAGAAATAATCAGTTTGATCCCCATCAGTGTGACTTTACCAAGAAAAATAATGAGAGTATTCTTTTTCTGATTGAAGACATGGACATCTCCAGGACAACACAACCAGGCTCTTCATGACACAAGAAAGCCCTACTGTCCAAGACTGTCTAGTCTTGCACAAAGACCATGTGTGACTTCAGAGGGTCTGAAATCTCAAGTGTTCCTATTCTTAACTTAGCCAAGTGGCTCTCCTGTTAAGACCTCTTGGTATGCCTTAGTTGCACTCGCAGATCCAGATGGAGCACTCCAATAAATTATCAGAGCTAACGTCTGCCTAACTGGGTTAATTCCTCCATGGCTGAGACAGCACAACTGACAAGATGATCACTCCTTTGCAGTGCAAAAGATTTATCACAAAGAATATCTGAAAGAGACTTTAGACAATGTCTCACTTTTCACAAAGAGCACTCAGAAGATGGGGAGCAGCATCTCAGCCATGCTTGTGGTAACCTTCAGTTGAAGGCACTGTGATGTAGAGACATCCAAGGCCAGACTGGATGTAGTTCTGGGCAACCTGATCTAGTTGAATATGTCCCTGCTCATTGCAGAGGCTTGGACTAGATGAGCTTTGAAGGTCCTTTCCAACCCAAACCATCCTATGACTCTATGATTTAAACCATTACAGCTAGATCTGCATTAGTATGACTGCCCGTGCCCCAGCACATTGAAAGGCTTAGGGCCTTCCCAGAATACTCTTGTAGATACAGCATTTTTTAAACACAGAATGAGAAAGATGTAGGCAAATCCTGTAAAAGAAAAACCAGTCACCTAATGGCGGGCACATTGAGTAGGAAGAGACATCACTTGAATATCCTTTTCATAGAATTATAGAATAGGTAGGGTTGGAAAGGACCTTAAGATCATCTAGTTCCAACCCCCCTGCCCCAGGCAGGGACACCTTCCACTAGAGCAGTTTGCTCCATGCCCCGTCCAACCTGGCCTTGACCACTGCCAGGGATGGGTCAGCCACCGC